TAAGGCACTTGACTGCTAACCAGAAGGCTGGCAGTTCAAACCCACCAGCCACTCCTCAGAAGGAAGGTTGGGCAATCTACTTCCGTAGTGATACCACCTCAGAAACCCAAGGGGGGGTCGCTATGAGTCAGGTCTGACTCGATGGCACATAACAACAACAACAACGAATATGGACTGTCAGATTTTCAGTACTGATGTAAGAAACCACGGCAATGTATAAAAATTTTCTGCTGAAAAATATGCACTGAGTTGCAAATGCCCATAGCAAGAATGTGTAATGCAAGAAGATAGTGTCACCAAAAAAAGGACTCTGGGGAGAATCTAGAGAAAATAGAAAGTGAATATCCAAGATCCTGAGAGAAAAAGAGAAGGAGATACACACCCCATGGAATCTAGAGAGTTCACAGGGACAGCAGATAACAAAGAATAAATTTCCAGAAGATGGCAACTAAAACAAAAGCCACAGGTGGGCAGGGGTAAGGATGAAACTGGGGACTGGCAGGTGTGAACAGAAGTAGGAGCTTAAGGATACTATCAAAACAACTCAAGTTTAGGGGCAGATGGAGAACATTTCGAACAGACACGCATGTCACGAGGTTTATGTTAGATGTAGGCAAAGTGGATAGATTTCTGAAAACTGAGATCTCCAAGCTATTTTCATTGACTCTATCCATTCTATATAATTAATATTTTTAAATGATGAAACGTCCATCAGGAGATGACTAGGTAAACGAACTATGGTAAATACACACAATGGAATGCTCTGCAACATCAAAGAATAACAATGAATCTGTGAAATACCTCGTAACATGGATTAACCTAGAGGACACTATGCTGACTGAAATTAGTCAGTCACAAAAGGACAAATATTGTATGAGACCACTACTGTTAAAGTCAAGAAAAAGTTTACACACAGAAAGAATCATTCTTTGGAGTTTACCAATGGTGGAAGGGAAAGGGAGGGTAAATCACAAACTAGAGGGTAAGCATGTATTAACTTGGGTGAAGGGAAAGGCAATATACAATAAGGGGGAGGTCAGCACAAAATGATCAAGACAGTGGAAGAGATAGGGAAGAGCACAATAGTTAAAGGCAACAAAAGTGAATACTCTTACACACACAATCTTGTAATAACAGTAATAATAATAATTTACAAGTGGATACACACATAGACTGGAG